GTTGCACACCGACGTTCTTGCACCGAACTCCTAATTTTTTTTCATTTCAGATGAGGATACCATCTAGTTGTGAAATTATGAGCAAACGAATAGTTGCATTCACCTGCAAACAGGGCTTATTTTTGAAAATTTACTCACTCCCAAAACGGGGTCAGAGCTAATTGAAACTATGAAAGTTTCCTAATTGGAATATCCAGAATAATTCATTCGCAAGCAGGCTCGTTGCATAAACTGCACATTATCTCTGCCCCGGTAATTAGGGCGTCTTAATGCACACGTAAGGTTTGCAGAGCGATTATTTAGCGTACCTTCCCTCTACAGTGCATTATCTTGGCGAATTAGGCCCCTTCCCTTTGGTAAATGCTTTAGTAATATTGCCTTTGCTCCATATTACCTTGGCTAATTAGGGCGTTATTGTGCAGCTTGAACACATAAAGTGCCCGAGTTTGTTGCGTCGTTTCCGTAATTTATAATCCAACTCTCACAAATCGAAAAAAACTGATGTAATAAAGAAGCCCATAAGAGTGCATTAAAAAGTCGAGCCATTAACCTTTCAAGAGGCTTCAACATGTCAGGATGAGTGATGGAAATGAGCAAAGAGTGGCCTGGTAGAGAATGTCGGATTACCCGAATTAGATGATAAGAAACCGAGAAAATCCTGACAAGTCTGCTCATTTTAAATGACGGCAAACTGAAGCGGGCATTAGGAGAAAAATTATCGTACATTTAGGACCTTGGGGGAGAGTTAATGTGTCTCAAAACAAGGCGAAACCTCGTCAGTTTGAACAAAAGACAATTTCACCCGAGAACCAGACTTGCGAAGCAGCCGTATGCATTTCGCTTCCTGATAGTTTGCAGAAGTTTTCCTGCAGCTTTACGAACTGCCACAAGGTAAATACGTGGAAACTAATTGTGAAAACCACGCCAAACAACAGACAGTTGCTGCAAGTACAACAAGTCTTTAGCAATTTATGAGGCAAAAGAGAGTGTGCTCTGAATTGACAATGCATTCGAAATGGCTTGCACTGGCGCCAATTGCGAAAGTTTCTAAAATACATAAAGAGTGCAACAACGCAACCTGCTATTTGATGCTAGATTTAATTATTCTTCGAGTTTTTCGGGTTTGGAGGACGTTTTAAATATCAAATTGAGTTTTCAAAGTTTCTAAATTTTGGATGGGCTCTTGGAATTGAGTCAAATTTCAGCATTTTCGTAGGTATTTCGCATACACCTGCAAAGTTTCACTTTTGGTTCTTTTTTGGATTAGGATCCAACGCTGGGAATACGCACACTCGGACAAAGTTCATTTTTGAAATTTTTTAATTCCTTAGTGTGTATGCAAAACTAAGCAAATTTTTGTTGGTATCCAAAATATTCCTGCAAAGTTTAATTTTTGCATTTTCAGAGGTTTGGAAGCTTTGCATTTTTAAGTTAAGGAATGCACATTTCAGGACAATTTTTTTGCAAAATTATGTTTTAAACGTTGCAACAAAAGTTTCTTAATTTTCCATGCAAATTTGTCATTACAAAACTCAATTGAATTTTGCGAGCTTCTAGACTTGGATGTCCCAAATACAGCATTTCGTTTGTGAATCTCTTCAGATTTATTAATTAGGAATTTTTATATGCAGAAATGCACAATTTTACACAGAAATGGCAACACCCACGATCAAAAATTTATAAATTCCAAATGCGCCTTTTGAGCTCAGTTAAATTTTGTGAGTTTCTACGCTGGGGTGTCCCAAATAAATCTGCAAAATTTTATCTTTGAAGCTTTTCGAATTTAGAAGCTCTGATTTTTTTAATGCAAAAATGCACAATTTGAAATAATCACATTTAGCCAAAATCCAATTTCAAAAATTTGTAAATTCCCAATCTGCGCTTGAAACTTGTTCCCATATTGCCAGTTTATAGACTGAGGTGTCCCAAATACATTTTGAACATTCCGAAATTTGCAATTTGATTCCGAAATGACAAAATCCATATTCAAAAATTTCTGATTTTCTAATGCGTCATTGAAAGCCTGTCTAAATTTTTGTTGTTCTACTTTGGTGTGTCCCAAATAGATTTGCAAAAATGTGTACTTAAATGTCATACCAGTTAGAAGTTAAGAATTTTTAAATGCAGAAATGCACAATTTGATTCAAAAATTAAAAAAGCCATTTTCAAAAATTTGTCAAATCCCAGTGCGCCATTGAAAATCAGTCTAAATTTCTATGCTGCTACATTGGGGCGTCCCAAATAAATTTGCAAAAATTCGTCTTTAAATCTCGACCTGTTTGGAAGTTGGCTATTTAGAAATGACAAAATTCATTTTCAAAAGTTTCTCAATTCCAAGTGTGCCATTCAAAATAAGTCTAAATTTCGATGCTTCTACCTTGGGGCTTCCTAAATTAATTTGCAAAAATTTGTCCTTAAATCTCGTCCCGTTTAGAAGTTGGCAATTTTTTAATGCAAAAATGCACAGTTTGATTCAGAAATTACAAAATGCATTTTCATATATTTCTGATTTCCTAGTTGACCATTCAAAATCAGTCTAAATTTCCATACTTCTACTTTGGGATGTCCCAAATAGATTTGCAAAAATTTGTCTTTAAATCGCATCCTGGGTAGAAGTTGGTAATTTTTTAATGCAGAAACGCACAATTTGATTCCGCAATGTCCAATTCCATTTTGAAAAATTTCTCATTTTCTTCTTAGTCATTCAAAGTTAGTACAAATTTGCGTACTTTTACGTTGGGGTGTCCCAAATAAAATTTGCTAAAATTCGTATTTAAATCTCAATCCGTTTGAAAGTTGGCAATTTGTCAATGCAGATATGCACAGTTTGATTCAGAAATGACAAAATCCATTTTCAAAAGTTTCTCAATTCTCAGTGCGCCTTTCAAAATCAGTTTAAACTTCCATGCTTCTACTTTGAGATGTCCCAAATAAATTCGCAAAAATTCGTTTCAAATCTCATCCCGTTTAGAAATTGGCGATTTTTAAATTCAGAAATGCACAACTTGATTCAGAAATGACAAAATCAATTTTCAAAAATGTCTCATTTTTTACTGCGTCATTCAAAGTCAGTATACATTTATGTAATTTTACGCTGGGGTGTCCCAAATAAATGTTGCAAAAACTAGGTTTTAAATCTCATCCCGTTTAGAAGTTGGCGATTTTTTAATGCAGAAATGCACAATTTGATTCCGCAATGTCAAATTCAATTTTTAAAAATTTGTCATTTGCTAGTGCGTCAATAAAAGTCAGTATAACTTTCCGTGCTTTTACTTTGGGGTGTTCCAAATAAATTTTCTAAAATTTGGTTTTAAATCTAATGCCGTTTGGAAGTTGGCAATTTTTAAATGCAGCTATGCCCAATTTAATTCCAAAATCTCAAAATCCATTTTAAAAAATTTCTCAATTGTTAGTGCGTCAATGAAAGTCCATATAAATTTTCGTGCTTCTTCTTTGGGGTGTCCCAAATAAATTCGGAAAAATTCGTCTCTAAATCTAATTCCATTTTCAAAAATTTGTCAAATCCCAGTGCGCCATTGAAAATTAGTCTAAATTTCTATGCTGCTACATTGGGGTGTCCCAAATAAAGTGGCAAAAATTCGTCTTTAAATCTCATCATGTTTAGAAGTTGGCAATTTTAAAATGCATAAATGCACAATTTGATTCTGAAGTGACAAAATCCATGTTCAAAAATTTTTTAATTCCCAGTGCGTTATACAAAATCAGTCTAAATTTGCATGCTTATACTTTGGGCTGCCCAATTACTTCTACCAAAATTGGTCTTTCAATCTCCTCCGATTTAGGAGTTACGAATTTTTAAATGCAGAAATGTACAGTTGGGATTAATCTCACTTTGCGGTCAAATTTACTTTTTAATGCCAAAAAATTTGCATCCTTTCATAACTTAGCGACTCATTTCCAGGCAAGGAAAAACCCCAGGCCTTCGGGGGCAATCAACATCTTTAAACTAAATTTGTGCTGTTAACTATAATTTTTTTCGTAATTTGTGGCACAGTCGGACGTTTTCTACTCTGGGATTTTTTCTAGTCCAGATGCCCTTGACCGCATCTCGCAAAACTGAAATCGGCCATTGTTTCAGCGAGTTTTCGGTACACCGCAAGTTAACCCATGGGCCATTAAGTGCTTTATCCATGGCCGTTGAGCAAACTTGCGCTTATCACTTTCATATATTTTATCCGGGAAAAAATGTGGCACACAAACCGTTCCAAATAGGTCAACTTTCCGCAAAATGAATTATGATAATCTTATCTGTCTGGTTTGCTGTTTAAAGGCTTGCAACAGTGGTTGAAAATCGATTAAACCATCGTCTATCAGCGGATGTCAGCAACATGAACATATTTGTCTCCAATTTAATTTGCAGCTGCGAAAAACACCATCCAGAACCGAATTCAGTTCAGTTAATCGGTTTCGTTTGTTTGCAGCGGAATTTAAATGCAGACATGGCTATTTGATCATCCAGAGCCCCGATCGATCATCTGATAATCAATCAAAAAATGTCGCCATCATAAGGGTTGTTTTGTGAAAAACATTCCAGCTATTTTAGCAAATAGTTTTGCGTCGTTAACCTAATTCTCCTGGAATCGATACTGATTGATTGCGTTTAATAAAGACCCGCTCGTTTTATATGTAAGCAAATTCTGAAAGGAATTTCATTTTGTAACAACAAGTCTACATCGGGAATTTGTTGTCAATAAACTCACTTTATTAGCAGGAAGTTTTACTGTTGTCGCAGTTTTTTGAGCTCGGCGAGTTGAACAATTTAGGCAGCATTTTACCCCGAAATAACCTTTCTTGTCAAAACACAGTGGAGCAAAGTTCCGCTTTAGAATATGCGACCGGAATTAGTTAAATTTCAATTGGGGCAACAGTTTCCAGTTGTGATGCAGCGCAGGGAGAAGTTGGGGAACTTTCCAAATTTCCTGCTCTGCACGGATGGCACTTAAAAATCGTTGTTTGACCCAAATTTCGCTCGGTTCCAGGCCTGGTTCATCATCATCATCAGCATCACTTGGGTGGGCTCGATGGCCCTGTTCAGCATCCTGGTGATCAAGCAGGGCGGATTCTACTTCAATTCCACAGGAATGCACGCTTGCGAGCCCTTTTATCCAAAGGCTTCGTTACGCATCCTGTCGGCTTGTGGATTCTACTTTCCCACCACCATGATTCTCATGTACTGTTACGGATCAGCCTTCGATGTAAATAAGTTGGGATTCAAGCGAAGCAATTTGCCCTGCAGCATCAGTTCCAATGAAGTCCAACAGTCCAGCAGCATGGAGAAGGTTAGTAGTTGTGCAATAGCGATAAGCAAAACCAAGACTTGCATGGACACTTACAAAAAAGTTGGTCGTGCGGAACATGGTCTTGCTCTTGCATGCAAAAGACTTGCATTTCTTGCTCAACGTTATTTGTCAACGATTGACTGGAAAACTGATCAAAATCGTAAATCGGGGAAATTGCTCTAATAAATTCAAACATTGTGGGCAAAATAAAGAAAATAATGTCCTGCATGGAAAATACAAATGGCTTTGGCATTCAGGGCCCAAAGATATATAAACACACGGTTACGCAGGCTGATATTCATATTTATTTAACTCTCGGCGATAAATTCCCGAGAAGAACCAATTTTATATGGATGCGACGCAGCGTGGAAGAAATATGAAAATCTTTTCCGTTTCAGACAAATCCTGATACAAACATATGAGAGACTTAGCAGGTTTTAATTGAATTTTCCTGCTGTTTTGACCTGAAGAAGACGAGGACGCCTCAACTGTTAGCCATATTAAAGCCTTCTGGCGCATTCCACTTTGGCTAGCAGCATTTCGATATATTCCAGGTAGTTCCTCAAAGCAAATGCGGTTTTCTCGATTTCACATTATGCGCTTTGAACTGGAACACTGATACCTTTGGCCATAAATTACCGTTTCCCACACTGTTATTTGGATTTTTGCAATGCAGCAAAGCACGGAAAAGCTCCAGACAATTAGGCAGAATGTTCTGTTGAAACTCCAGTTGCGTACGATTTCCAGGCATAAAACTACGTATAATTACAAGCTGTATTTTTGGGCAGGTTCTGCACTTGGGTGTTACAAATGCATCTGCAACTGTTCAGTTTTTAATCCTTTCGGGTGTGTTAGCTAGGATTTCTTAAATTCGGAAATGCACAATTTGATGCAGAAATAACTATTTCGATGTTAAAACATTGATAACATCCGAATGCGCATTTCGAACTTAATTTAATTTTTCAACTTTCTACCTTGAAGTGTTCGCAATAAGCCAGAAAATTTTTGTCCATGAATCTTTTGCAGTTTGGGACTCAGTAATTTTTAAAGGTAGAAGTGCACATTGGGAAATAATCAGATTTTGACATACTCTATGTTCGAAAATTTCTAAATCTCTAATCCAACCTTCGATCTCAATAGAGTTGTGCAAGTTTTTTTACTAGGGTGTCCCAAATACATCTGCAGCTTTTTATCTTTGAATCCCTTCGGGTTTATGGGTTAGAAATTTGTAAATGCGGAAGTTTTCAATTTTATGCAGAAATAACTAAATCGATGTTAGAAAGTTAATAACATCGGAATGCGCATTTCGAACTCAATTTAATTTTGCAACTTTCTACGTTGAAGTGTGCACAATAAACCTTCCAATTTGACTCAATGAATCTTTTGCAGTTTGGGACTCAGCAATTTTTAAATGTAGAAGTGCACATTTGGAAATAATCAGATTTTGACAAACTATATTCGAACAATTCTAAATCGCTAATACAACCTTTGATCTCAATCGAGTATTGCTAGTGTTTTCACTAAGGTGTCGCAAATACATCTGCAACTTTTTATCTTTGAATCTCTTTGGGTTTATGAGTTAGGAATTTTTAAATGCAGAAATTCACAATTTGATGCAGAAATAACTAAATAGATGTTACAAAATTAAAAACTTCCAAATCCGCATTTCGAACAGAATTAAATTTTGCAGCTTTCTACACTGACGTGTCCACAATAAACCTTCCAATTTGACTCAATGAATCTTTTTCAGTTTGGGACTCAGCAAATTTTTAAGTATGTAAATAATCAGATCATCAATCAAGATCAGACTCAAATACAATGGGAACATTTCGTCTTTGAATCTCTTCGGGTTTATGGGTTAGAAATTTTTAAATGCCCTAATTTAAAATTTGATGCAAATCCATTTTAAAAATTGTTCCGATTGCGGGTCTCAATTTCAATCACATTTTTTGAGTATCTGCTATGAGGCATGGACAATATTCCTCCGAAAATTCATATTTGATTATTTTCTAGTTAAGAAGATAGCTATTTTTAAGTGCAGAAAATCACCATAGAGAATATTCTTATTTTTACTAAATTTATAAATTTGCCATTCGCCATCCAAACCCCATGTAATTTTGGGAGCTTGGGGTGCCTCAAATTCATCTGCAAATTTTATTACTTGCATCTTTTCTGGTTTAGAAGTTGGGAATATTTAAATGTAAAAATGCACAATTGAGAATGTTCACATTCTGACGACACCAACTTTCCAAAATTGGTAAACCTCAATGTGGCCTTAAAACGCAATAAAATTTTAGGAGATTTTTGCCTGGGGATTCCCCATTACACCTGCAAAATTTCATGTGGGAATCTTTAGGAGTTTGGCAGTTAATATTATTTTAATTCACTAATGCACAATTTGATTTAAAAATACCAAAATCTCAATTCCCAAAGGGAATTTTTCTTTGCCTTTTTTGCCTTAAATTGCTGTTTTCCACTTTACGTTCTACTGTCCACAAACGGTTATTTGGATTTTTCAGTGCATGCGTTCAATTACTGGCCGATAAAACGACAGGAAATTACGGTGGGAAACCGATGTTTTTGCAACTCTTATCTCCGATGCAACGGAATTTCAACCAAATCACTGTTATTGAGAAACTGTGCTTGCCTATACGAGGAACTATTGGAAACTGATTTTCTCGCTCTCGATATCTAATGCAAACGGTTAAAAACTCCAGGAAACTGCATACTTTGCATCAGCAAAGCAGCGAAAGGCTCCAAAAAATGGCCCAGAATGTGCTTTTCCCAACATCGCCTAGTCAAATTGCCCTCTTACAAACTCCGACTCCTTTACATCGCTCTTGGTATTGGCTGGCCAATTGAAACTCCAATAGTGTATGATTTGCAGACATAAAACTCCAAGTGGAATTTTTCAGTGTTTCGTGAAATTTGCTGTTGAATTTCAATACGACGATGGAAGGGCCGAAGCGAGTTAAGTGTTGCAAAGTTTCTCTGAACTTCCTGCGAATCGCCCGCATATTGCCGGCAGCTGGGATGGAAAACTCTCGGCAATATCTTGCAGCCATTGCAGGGATATTTTCGCTTGTGACTCTCTTGACTCTTTTGGTTATTTCCTATGTTTTCGTTGGTTTGAATAGTGAGTTCATCTTTTTCAATTCAACAAACGAATTGATCAGAACAACTCTTCCAGATCATTTTCCAATGGTTTTCATCCAATTCCCGATAGTTTGCCTGGTTTCCATCTGGGGGGTGATGTGGATCAATGGGTTTTGCGTGAAAAATCGCCATCTCCTCCTGCAGCTGGAAGAAGCCCTTGCAGACTGTTCGACCTTTGGAAAACCGCCAGCCTTCAAAATTTTCCAGGAGAAAATGAACTTGCTCGCTAAACTCCATCTGTCCTACGTCACTGGTGGAGCTCTGCTCTATTTCATCTTCTTCGCCCCCATGCACAAGAAGAACTGCGAAGCGCTCAACATCCAAAGGAACTTCAGCGAAATTTGCGCCCTGTTGATCCCAATCCACATCCCCTTGGTTCCCTATGCAGCGCTAGAAAAGTTTCCCTTCTTGCAGCTGATTAATGCAGCGGAATTCCTCATGCTGATGTACATTTATGTGGTTTGCGGCACTGTTGTCTGGTTGAATGTGGAGGTTATCGAGTACATTTGCCTAAGAATCCGCCACTTGAAGACAGTTTTGCTGGAAGCGCTTGCCTGCCCCAATAGAGCGACTCGAAGGGGGCTATTTGGGAGGGCTGTGCAGTACCATGAAGAGATTTTGAGGTATTTTTTTCCTTCGGGACTTCAGGGGTTATTTTCAAATTTTTCCAGAATGGGTCGTTTGGCTGATGAATTCTTCGGAACCGAGCTGGTTTTGCATGTGGTTCTCACTGGGGCCATTCTGGGGGTTTCTGCCTTTGTGATGCTTGAGGTAGAGGATTCCTCTGGGTTAATCAGCAAGTGTTTAGCAATATTTTTCTTCCAAGTCGGCAACTTTGGAAACTTTGATGATTTTTGTCGGTTGGTTGAATGCGATTATTATGGGCTGCGCTGCCGGGCAGCGACTGATTAACGAGGTATATTGACGGAAAGGCCTTGACTTTTCGGTATAAAGCTGGTTTTATAGAGCGCAACTATTTCGGATGTTTTACACGAAGTGGATTGGTTTGAATTCGACAATGGCCTGAAGAAAGATCTGCTTTTTTTCTTGGTGCGCAGCAGGAAGTCCATGTATATTCGTGCAGGAAACGTTATAATGGCCAATGAGCTCATTATTCAGGTAACTTTCCCTGCAGAAACTAAGCGAGTTGATTGAATTTTTCCAGATTTTGCGAACTTCCTATTCCTATGTGACTTTTTTGAATAGCATCGACGGCAACTGAACGACACCCTTCTACCCAGATTCTCTAGATGATTAGCAATAAAGCATCCAACAGGACAAAGCGTCGGTTTTCTAACCAATTTCCCTGTGTTTTTAGCGCTGATTTGATTGAATTTCCACTATAACACTCGCGGATTTTCAGTTGAAACGCGTCAAATTGTTTCGACTTCGTCGCCCCTTTTGTGTCCAATTAAATTTCCTTCAACAGTTCAATGGATTTGGGGCCGCTGGTAGATTCTAAATCGATGTCATTCATAAACCCCGAATTGGCCGCCCTTAATGCGCTAAAACATCCTTTTTTTGGGGGTTGTTTTCAGCCCTTAGAACGAATGAAACGGTGGCGTTTTCCTCGTGTTATTGCGCTGATAAGACAAAATGCAAATGTCAGTGCCATGGAAAGTCAACGATTTTCCCGATTTTGCCTGCCGAAAACTGTTGTGGATTATTTAAATCTGTTTAGGGTTTTGGTTAAACGAGGATTTTTAGTGTTCAATGGTCGAGGTTGAAGGGCCATTTTGTGTTCTTGCAAGCGGTTGGGGAAAAATCAGTATTTTTGGCGTAAGCCCGAAGATTGCCTCAGAATCTCCGTGAAATATCGACAAAGCATCCAGCTTCAAATTGACCAAGTTTGACGCAAATCTTTGGACAGATCCTTTTCTTAATAAAGCGTCTCAATGTTGAGTGGAAAAATCGCTATTTGCTGGCTCTGCATATTTTGGATCCAGTATATAGAGAGTGTTGCCAGGACCCCGAGTTACAAACTGACCCAATTTGGTCAGCATGGATGTATAGGGTGATTTTTAGCAAGGTCCAGAAATTGCAGTTTTCAGCCTCTGCAGCCTGAAGGAAAAAAAATCACAACTTCTGAATTTGTCTTAACATTCGCTTCCACTCTCGGCAGAGGCTTTGGAAATAATGGGGCTACCAGTTTAGCAAAATTCGTCTGAATTTGTCTATGGGTTGATTTTGGAGAATTTCTTCATGTGTACTAAAATGTGTACTAAAACTCAAAAACATTTTTTGGTGCAGGCTGATGAAAAAAATTAATATCTTTTGTGCAAGCGCCAATATTGTTTTACAATTTTTAGGCGTTATTCAGACGACGTTCAGCTATAAATTGAACAAACTTCTCTCACAATGCAAGCTTTCGTTGGTTTCGGGCAATTTTCAATTTGGAGTCCGAAAAATCGCTTTTCTATCTCTGCAGCCCGATGGAAAAGAAACCATAAATTCGGACTCAGCTCATCTGTAGTCTCTTGCAATTTTTGCCCACTATTCACAAACCTCTACACTACAGACCTGGAAAATTTCATTAAAATTGATGATCAGGGTGATTTTTGAAATGGTCACTTGGGACGTAAAAATTGCAAGTTTTCAATGCAATGAAAATCCTCACTATGAAAGAAACCGAAATATTTTCTAACAGGCTCTAAGGGATATTCGAAAAAAGTACAGTGCAGGTGAAAATTGAGAAAATTTCAATCGAATTCAACCGCAGCGTGTTTTTTTAAGACCGTAAAGACCGACTCATTTTAGACCGTAAAATTTGCAGTTTTCGCTCTCTACCGCCTGACGGAAAAAAATTCAGAACTTTTACGTTTTCCTGAAAATACGTTTGAAATCTCTTCAAATTAACTAGCGATAATCCGGCTACAAACTGAGAAAAGCTTAATTAAATCCATGTACTGGGTGAAGTTTGAAAGTGTTTTCCTTTGGGGACTACGAACCGCAATATTCTCATTATGCAGGCTGATTTAATTTTTTTTATATCTTGGAAGCAAGCACTAGTATTTATTTCCAATTTTTGTAGAACATTGAAAAGTTATTCAGCTACATACTTGCTAAGTTGCATTCAAATCTATTAACGGATTGATTTTTTAAATGAACATTTGCTGTCTGGGCAAGTTGATGGGAAAAAATAATAGTTTCTCAGTAAGTTGGAATCTTTCCTTTCAGTATCTATGGAGCATTTGCAAATTATTCATGTACAGATTAACTGAATTTCGTTCAAACTTATTTGAAAACTGTTTATTTTTGGGGACCCAAAAGCACAATTTTCGATTTCTGGAGTTAACGGAATTTCTTATAAATTCCTGGGCCGGGCGAGTTAAAAAAATTTATATTTTGGACCAAAATACCCGCAATTTTCGATGTCGGCACCCTGAAGGGAAAAAATTCATAACTTTGGTGCTAGTGGTAATATTTTCTTTGAATCGCTCCAGAGTACACTATGCGTTCGGTTACAAATATAAGCAAAGTTTTATTCGAATTCAAGGAAAATCTATTTGGGGCCCCACAAACTGCAACTTTCGATCTCTGCACCCTGAAAAAAAGGCAAAAATTCATAACTTTGGCCCTAGCCAGAATATTTTCTTCAAATCTCTCCCCAGCATTTCCAATTCATCCAGCAAGAAACTGACTACATTCCATTGAAGATCCTATACCAGGTGATTTTAAACAAAAATCTATTCAAGGCCCAAAAAACCGCAATGCATTGGATATGTGCAGCCCGATGAAACAAATATCCATAACTTGGGGGCTAGTGGGAATATTTTCATTAAATCTGTCCAGAATATTCATGAAGCATCCAGCTACAAACTGACTTAATTCCATTGAACTTCCTGCACCGGACGATTTTAAACAAAAATCTATTTCTAGAGATTTTGATACCGAAAATCCCGGAAATTTCGATCTGGGCAGCCTCAAGAGAAAATTCCTAACTTCGGTACTAGTAAGGGTATTTTTTTGATATCGCGCGATAGTATTCACATAGTATCCGGCTACAACCTGACAGAACTCGAATCAAATGCCTGCACCAGGCGATTTGAAACAAAAATCTACGTGAAACTGAAAAAACGGCAATGTACTAATGGCAATATTTTCTTCAAATCTGCTCCGAGTATTCACACAATATCCATTAGCAAATGCACTGAATTTAATTTAAATTTCTGCACCAAACGATTGAAAACAAAAATCTATTTGAGACCAAACAAACTGCAACTTTCGATTTGTGCAGCCTCAAGGAAAAAATTCGTACAACTTCGGCACGAGTGGCGGTATTTTCTTGAAATCTCTCTCGAGTATTCAGACAGTATTCAGTTACGCACTGATAAAAGTCGATTGAAATTCCAGGATCGGGCGATTTTAAACAAAAATATATTTGAGACCGTAAAAAACCGCAACTTTCGATCTGTACAGCCTCAAAGAAAAAAATTCGTAACTTCGGCACGAGTGGGGGTTTTTTCTTGAAATCTTTTGAAAGTGTTCACACAGTATCCAGATACAACCTGACGACACTCGATTGAATATGCTGAACCAGGCGATTTTAAACAAAATTCTATTTGAGGCGGAAAAAATCTGCAGCTCAAAGGACAAAATTCATAACTTTGGCACTAAAGGGAATATTTTGTTAAAATCGCCTGGGAGTATTCCAAAAACATACATTACCATACATTGACCAAATTTCATCCAAATTGCTGGAAGGAGCGATTTAAAACAAACATCTTTGAGACCGAAAATACTGTAATCTTTCACTATCGTAACTTCGGCACTAGTGGGGACATTTTCTTGAAATCTCTATCCAGTATTCACACAACATCCAGCTTCAAACGACGATGACGAAACTCGATTGAAGTTCCGGCACCGAGCGGTTTTTTTAGATTTTAAACAAAAATCTATTTGAGATCGAAAAAAGCGCAACTTTCGATCTGTGCCACATCAATCAGGAAAAAATTTATAACTTCGGCACTAATGGGAATATTTTCTTTAAATCTCCCCAGAGTATTGACAAACTACCCAGCAACCAACCCAGTAAATTCCATTTAAATTCCTGTACCGGGCGATTTTAAACAAAACTCTATATGCGACCGAAAAAACCACAGATTTTGTTCTGTGCAGCTTTAAGGAAAAAATTCATAACCTCAGCACTAGTGTGAACACTTCCTTTAAATCTTCCCAGAGTATTCACATATCATCCAGCGACAAATGGACCAAATTTCATTGCAATCCCTCAGTCCGAATGCAAATTAACTTGTCTCAAATATCGTTTTGATCAGGCCAAACAGCATTGCAGCAGGATAAACGTAATGTCATAACGCCGTTAGCCAATTAGGCCTGCCAGTGAGCAAACTGGACAGTGTTTAGCTTGGAAATAATAGTTAATTCCGCGATTTAAGCTATGCAGATTGAATAAATACCGCGCTCAATTTCGTGGCACCCCGAAAAAATTCACTTTCAACCTGTAAACGATAGGATGTGGAAGATTCTCTGTTTGGGATGCTTTGCAGCATGCTGCGGCTTATCGGGCTTAAATAATTCATTGCTTGTTTATGGCCGGTTCGGTCGACGTGAAACATTTCCCCGATAACGATAAACTTCCAGTTTTTGTGGCGTTTGAACGAAACCCGATCGGGCCTGGGCTCGCAATTAGAAAATGGAAAGCTAACGATTACCATGTATTAATTAAACCAATTTGGAACTCGATCATTTTCCCAGACACGCTGCTTAATCCGTTGTTGAGTGGAAGGCTGCAGTTTTTCCCAAACAAATTCCCTGCGAATCAGCGCATGTAATTCATGTCTTTTGATCAAGGGCAGACATCTTTAGCTATCATTAGGAAGGCCGACTTTGATCTCGAACGCGAGAGTATCAGATGCGATTATTTTTAATGAATGTTTTAATTAATTTAATTGCGTTGGGTTTTTAATGGAAATATACCTACCCGTTTAATAACTCCATGCACGTTGCTAGAGAACTTTCCATTTTTGGCTCCAGTTAATCGACCACGAGCGGAAGCTGAGCTTGATCTGCTCCCGAACAATGGCCGCAATGTCTTTGGGGTTCATCGTGCTAGTTACACCCTGGACCATCCAGGAAGTTGTGGCGGCCTGCACTGGATCTAGAGCCCCGCCGGCCTTAGACTTTATCGCCACCTGGATGGCTTTAAGCAACAGCTTTTGGTATCCATTCATCTACTGGACGCTCAATAACCACTTCAGGCGAATATGCCGGGAGATCTTCAATGGGGTGAGTTCCGCTTTAAAAACTCGCGAAAAAATCCCGAAAACTCTACACTTTCCAGGTGTTTTGCCGCAAAATCCACGACAAGAAGCAGCAGCAGTTTGACCATTTCTGCAACACATCGCCCTCTTCAAAGTACATCGGGCATACGCCTGACTGTGACCTGGAAGGCCTTTCCGAGAAATACTGGGGAGAAATCCTGGAACGCACAGTTTCATCCAGCTCGATTCCAGAGCCCCAACAGTCGAATTCGCTGGAAACTCGACTGGACTGCAACGGCATTGAACTGAGTGTTCTAAATAATTCTCCAGCGGATTTATGAAAGCTGGACAAGACCACGCAAACCTTTGATTTGGGCGGCGAAAGCATGGGCAGTTCGGCCGAAACCGCCATCGTCTCCAAATAGCATTGCGTGGTCCATAAATGGTGATTTTGCAGTTCTTTGCGTTTTTCCTACCGCCTCCAGATGAACGCAGGTTCTTCGATGTGGACAATGAAGAGCTTGATGAACGTGCAAACTGCTGGCTGCCACTTTTTCCTATATGAGTTAGTAGAAAGATAGTTTAAAACGTTAAAGTCCTGAAAAGGATATTTAAAAAAATGTAATCAAGGCAGTCAATTAATCGAAAAATCTTGTGGTCTGCACAAGTATTTTTCAGTTTTACCGGGTGTCCCCCCATTGCAATTCCCTGATAGATAATCATGCATGCCAAAGTAATTTTTTGTCAAGAAACTGGAATTGGAGCGAAAATTTTGCAAGAGACGAAAAACCATCTAAACGAACCTAGCTAGCGGCTGAAAAAAAACCAGCCCATTTGTACAAGGGGTTGCAGAAAAACTTTCTACAAGCAGCCTCTTTTTCAACCGTGTCCGGATGAGCAAGTTTAGGGACATCCTGTATATAAAAACCTGCTGGCAAGCTGAACTCAGATAAAAATGAAATGGACTGTGTGCAGTTGCATAACGTTTTGCCTTTACTTATTTGGTGATTATTCTGTAAGTGAACTTCAATGCGCCTCTGCTGGACATTATGGCGAATGCGCGTTACTTACGGCAAATAAGCTGGTACAGTATTAATAACTGTAAATAGCGACTTTGTACTAGGGCAATTTCCATTGTTCCTTGGTCCTGTTCGGTATCAAATAAGCGTTTCGTATCTATTAATAATTGTAAATACGAATTATTGTAATACTTTCTTATAGAAAATTTGCTGTGTTATTTGACTTTTAATAAACGGTTTTTACGTTATATTATAGTGAACTGGATTTTTCTTCGCCTGAAACCACATTTAAAAGATTATTTATTTTAAGGGCACAAAAATTATTTAAATATATTCATTCTGAAAGCGGCGTTGTTGCCTCTGCCACATGGTTTTGTCTGAAGAAAATCAATTCTTCCATCATCTTCAGTCAATTCAAATGCCTGTTCAGTTGGCTGAGTTAGTGGCCCCTGCGACTTCGTTGGCCCGTTGGGTGCACTTTCAAACTTGCAAACCAGCTGAAATTTGGTGGAAATCTTCATCAAAACACTGTAATAAATCGAATTAGTTCCCTAGACCTGCAAATTCTAGCGAGGTATGGCAACGCACAAGTTCAGCAGGGAATTTTCATTTCCTGTGTTGCCTGCCCTGGGTTGAATTACGGTTGACGTTGGTAACTGGCCCGCTTGTTCAGTTTAGCCATTTTAGTTTCCTTTCGCATAGTGTTCCAAGGTGGAGTAGGAACGTAAGTATAGATTTTTCCTAGTTTTACCTCAATTTTTTGCGTTTTGATTTCGGCAGAATGCTCAAACTGTGCCCCTTTAAGCTTTGCTTCTATTGAGCGTTATCTAAACCAGTGGGTTTCGTGGATTTTTCCCAAATTTGCAATCTTTTGAGACCATGCGTGTTAGATCAGGTTAGGTTGGCACGTTTATTTCATTTCCAGCCTCATGCTCTTGAGCCCGAGTTGTTAGCCCACTTTTCAATAATCCTTTCAACATGTTTTGCATTCAATCGCGGAAATATTTCGAGAAAATGGGGGGGGTTTGACCAAGGGGCAAAGCCCTAACCTTGACGGCCTAGCCATTGTTCAGTTTGGGAGATACTAGTGGGTGTATTTGCCGAAGAAGCACCAAATCAAGGACCGCATATTTCGACCAGTTACTTTTAACCTTAGTAGATAAATGTTCGGAAAACAGACTTGTTCAGCTGGTTGGTATCAATTTCTCATTAAATGCAAAACAGTGGAATTAGTGGGGACTTCAAAGGCTTACGAGACACGAGTGCATTTTTTTCTGACATAAAGCAGTAACACTTAGTGAATATTGCAGTGAGGTGCTTCTAAGGTACGTATGATTCTTTTGAATAATACCAATACATCCAGCGTATCTCCGAAACTGAGCAAACAGAGTCTAATTGGAGCTAAAAAGTAACGAAATATATTTTTTTTGAATAGTTAACTCGACAAGATGCCACAGAACGAATACATGGAGCGTCACCGCAAGCTGCACGGTCGACGGCTCGACTTTGAAGAAAGAAAGCGAAAACGTGAAGCCCGTGAGCCCCATAAGCGAGCTGAAACCGCTCGCAAATTGCGCGGTATCAAGGCGAAGATCTTCAACAAAGAGCGCCGCAATGAAAAGATTCAGATGAAGAAGAAAATCAAGGCCCACGAGGAGAAAAAGACCAAAAAAGTCACTGGAAACGTCGCCGAAGGGGCTTTGCCCGTCTACTTGCTGGATCGTGATGTACAATCCAGGGCCAAGGTGCTCTCGAACATGATCAAGCAGAAAAGAAAGGAAAAAGCCGGCAAATGGGATGTGCCGATTCCGAAAGTACGAGCCCAAGCAGACTCTGAAGTGATGCGAGTGGTCCGATCAGGGAAAACCAAGAGAAAGGCCTGGAAGCGAATGGTCACTAAGGTCACATTTGTCGGCGAGGGTTTCACGAGAAAACCGCCAAAGTTTGAACGGTTCATCAGGCCCATGGCTTTGCGCTTTAAGAAAGCACATGTTACCCACCCAGAGCTGAAGGCCACCTTCCATTTGCCCATCATTGGCGTCAAGAAAAACCCCAGCTCTGCCATGTACACGAGTTTAGGAGTCATCACCAAGGGCACCGTGATCGAAGTCAATATTTCCGAGCTGGGTTTAGTCACACAGGCTGGCAAGGTTGTTTGGGGCAAATATGCCCAAGTCACCAACAACCCGGAGAACGATGGATGCATCAACGCAGTACTTTTAGTGTAGTTGAATGACTTGTATGGTTTTTTTGTAATAAATCAGTCCATGAGGACTTATTCCCAGTCCAAGCTTTGATTTGCTTTCAAACTGCGTCGATTTGAATGTTACAGGACTCGCAGGTTTAATGGTTTTTTATGTTTTCCAGTTCACCGCTAGAGATGCAGATCTTCGTGAAGACTCTGACGGGCAAGACCATCACTCTTGAGGTCGAGCCATCAGATACTATCGAAAATGTTAAAGCCAAAATCCAGGATAAAGAGGGCATCCCTCCCGACCAGCAGCGGCTGATCTTCGCCGGCAAGCAGCTGGAAGATGGACGCACTTTGTCGGACTACAACATCCAGAAGGAGTCCACTTTGCATTTGGTGTTGAGGTTGAGGGGAGGCGCTAAGAAGCGCAAGAAGAAGAACTACTCAACTCCCAAGAAAATCAAGCACAAGAAGAAGAAGGTCAAGCTGCCGATTTTGAAGTTTTATAAGGTGAGATTAGTTTTTTGGCGTTCGTAATAAAAAACGTGCGGAAATTCAGTCGAAGAACGTTGATATTTCGTGATCAAATTTGCATATTAAAAGTTTCCCTTTTCATTGAATTTTCAGGTGGACGAAAATGGGAAAATCCACAGGTTGAGGAGAGAATGTCCCGCTGATCACTGTGGTGCTGGTGTTTTCATGGCAGCAATGGAAGACCGTCACTACTGTGGAAAGTGTGGATACACGCTAGTCTTCTCCAAGCAAGAATAAGCGTGTATGTTCTAAATATAATTATTTAGAGAATTATTTTTTCTACTTCAGTCCCAACAATCGCTGATTACCCAAAATTTCCTGTCCTTTCCGTCCATTATTCAGTGCAAACTCAATCAACAATAATTTATTCCGTCGCTTTCTCAAGTTACATTTCAGTATTAAAATCGTCTTAGTAAAAACACATGCATATAAATTAATAAATATTAGTTGTATAATTAGGGGTTTTTGATCGGTGTACAGGGTCGCAAGACTTCGGGAAACAATCGACCATTCAAAATACAAACGTGGAAATTCGTCGTTGTTTCCCAAATGCTTCTTAAAATATGGGACACCCGGCAAAGTCAAACTAGAGAGCATTATTTTAACTGATGAGTTCAAACTCTTCTCCGTTTGAACTGCTAACAATGTTAAATTGCGTAATCGGAACGCCCTGTTTTGCATTTTTCCTAGCACTTCATTCCTCTCACGACCATTAATGCGGGGTCCCAATGTTTTAGTCTTTGCCTCGCAAAGAAAAGCTTTTTCTCGTTGAAGACGTACTGGCTTTCGTCGTGCTCGCCGTGGTGGGTTTCATGAAACCCATAGGTTTCGCCCTTGCCGATATTTTGGCTGGGGGCTTTGAGGCCCCATTTTCCGCCCCAGTCTGCAGCATTTTGAAGCTTTCCGCGCTTCTAGAGCCGGTTATTTTGCCCTTGGAGCTGTTCAGGGAAGGCGTCCGGCGCAGGTTGGGTTTGACGGCGTTTTTCTGGTTCTTTGTGTTTTTGTCAGCCAGCGAGTTTTTTCTGGGTCGCGCTGGCTCTGAATTGGTGGGTTGGGACGCTTTTGGGCGGAAATCTTCCGGCTCTACCTGAAAGTGACCGTGTGAGTAACGTGGAGAGAAATCGGGGATGCTAATAACCTTAATGCAAACCGGGGAGACAAAGTCGCCCAAGCTGCTAACGTCTTCCTCTTCTTTGGGGATCTTCACCGGGCTCTTTGGTTGGTTGCGTCTGAAAAGCTAGCCGTAATTTCTGGGGGCTTTCAGCGTGGATTGAACACTTACACTTGTCTTCTTGTACGTCTGGCAGGCGAGAATCTGTTGAATTGTCCGTCCCCTATCAGGTCCAGTTCGTCCTTTTCCGGCTTCAACGTCCTGCTGCAGGGGCTTGGTTTGCTGGGCTCGCGTTTTTCCGTCGGAGTTGGCGAAATGAAATTCTTCCGCGCCATTGGGGGAGTTTGGACGTTGTCCTGATCGATTTCTATCTTGTTGCTGACTGGAGGCTCGGGACTGCTCTTGGTTGGGGGCGACTCAATTTTGGCGGGTTCAACCTGCGGTTCGTCTAGTGGCTTTCTAATGTACAAAGTGAGTTTATTGTCAGTCTTGAGGTTCCTGCCCAGTGAGCCGATCAGCTCTTTTCGGTCGTTGGTCGTCTCCAGAATTGGCTGGAGGATTTTCAGGTTGTACGGGTCCCTTCGATGGTTCTCCCCGATTTCTTCCGTGCTGTTTGGCACGTTTAGGGTGGACTTGCGCCAGGCGGATTTGTCTTTGTAGTGGGGCGAATCACCTGCAAAGTCCCGAGCGGGGTGAAAAAATTTCTGCTGGGGTTGCAAAGAGCTTACGCGACTCGGTCATTGGGTGGCTGAACTCGCTACCCTTCAGCCAAGATTCGACTTTGTCTTTCTTCGACTCGTCTTCCGGGGCTGAGCAGGAGCCTTTCACTTCCACCATAGGGGACGGGGTGGCGCGGTCTCTTTCCAGCAGGAAATCGGCTGTTAGCAGAGCGGGGCGCTTCTTCGGGCCGGTTCCCTTCGCCTTCCTGGCCCAGGAGCGATCTGCAAAGTTTCACCGATTAAAAAATGTTTTCTTCGGAAATCTTGCTCTCACCTAAACTTCCCCAGGATTTGCGTTCGCGGCTGTCGCAAGAGTTCCGCAGGAAGTCCATTAAGTTGCCTTGGTCGTCCAGCATTCCCTTACTTCGGCGTCTTCGCAGACTTCCATTGGGCGAGGAGTCTGGCGAATAAACATGTTTTCACGGGGATTTTTGCTTTAAAATCGACGCTTTACCTGGGGACATTTGCTCGGTATCGACGCCGTTTCCATTAAACGAGCTGAGTCTATGGCGCGGCAGTAAAGGGGAGCTGGTGCCGAAAAATTCGTCCTCTGAGGTTCCACTGTCGGTTCCCAGCCTGTAGCCCTGAAAATTTCCTTTGGGGATTAGTGTCTCCCGAACCAAACACAATTTGCAACCCCATTACTGATCTGTGCTTTTGCCTTCTAAAGCTTCTGTGTGTTCATTAAAAAATATTTTTATTCGATATTTTACCTTCTTGGAGCCGCCGCCCGTTCCAGAGTCGTAAATCTGCATTTCAATGAAACCATCATCAGCAGCATTTCCCACTGAAACGTTTTTCGTTTTACTTGGGCGATTTTTGTATTTTTTGTACCCTTACTTTGGCGTCGTTTAGCCGCTAACAGTTCCTCCCGTTGGCGCTTCCGGGCATTGGCTTGTTCTTCTTGGAACTTGCGGCGCTCATTTTCGATCACCGCCTGTTTGAACTTGCAGGTGAACGCGTGAAAGATCCGGAAGCATTCCTCTATTTTAAAGGAGCTGAGATCCTCGCAGAAAAACTCCGCTAGCTGCTGGCGGACAGTGTCCAGTCTTTTGAGCTCCTTTTGTAGCTTGGAAACGTCGTTTCCAGCCACCTGCAGGAAGCGGATCAAGGTTTTTAAGCGGGCATTTTCCAATAGGTACTTACTATCAGGAAGTCAGTCATTTGGATTTCGATTTCCGGCTCAGTTTCGGGCAGTTCGATTTGTTTCCTGATTTTTCGAATTCGCTCCTCCAGGGCGCTGATTTCGTTCTTCAGCTGCTCCACTGTTGTCCTGCAACGGCCGAAAATAATCCAAATGCGTTATTATTGAAGAGGCGGTACTCACTTGGCCGCCTCCTCCAGAATTCCGATGTTGTCGGTAAAGGACAGCAGGATGTTGCCTCGTTTCTCTGCTTGCTACATTTTGAGGAAAACCCAATTAGCTGGCAGAAAACGAATGTTTCAACTTACCAGGGCGACAAAATGAATTAGGTTCATGTTGGGCTTGTTCGCTCTGATGTCCATGATTTTTTGCAAAGAAGACAGTTTCACTCCCGCCGCGTTTCCTGCATATCCGCCCTGAAATTGATCATCAGCCCCTATCTAAACCCGGGTTGAGGATATTTACCGCATTGAGGAAATTGCCTGCAATCAGCACCATGTAGAGGACTTCTTGGAGCGCCTTGTTGGTCATCAGCTCTGAAAAACACTCGGCAGTTTAAGAAGTTTTCGCTCCGGCATGTTTACCTTGTGCCGCGATAATCATCGAGTGTATGCTCGGCTTCACGTAGCTCATATTGGACTCAAACTCCTCCTTCAGGAGCATGCTCTCAATTCGCAGCTTGTAGCTGAAAATCGCCTAATTTAGCTGCTGTTTAAGTTGAGCCGTTGGCTTTTACTTGGATAAACTGGTGAGTTGGATGAGGAACTTTTCCGCATTTCCCAACTTCCTCCAGTCGCCATCAAACGACTTCAGCATGTCCAGCTCGTCCACTTCGGGCAGAATCTTCAACAATCCCTTTAGCTTTTCGATCCCGATTTTATCGTGCTCCCCGTGCTTGATTAGGCGAATTATGTCTTCATTCGAGCTGAAACGCAGGTGGGTAAAGATAGAGAACATTTAGTACATTAGTTTTATTAGTTTCAAGTCAAGCTATTTTACGGGATTTTTCTGGGCGCTTTGCATGAAGTAATGGAGGTTTCTGTAAGTGTGATGATTCAGCCACACGATGTTTAGAAAGTTGTGTAAAAGGGCGCAATTTTTTGGAGAAATTAACTAATTTTGAAGAGTGAAGATCGTTCCTAGGATAAATCTACTGATTTCTTCACTGTTTGAAATGTTGTTATGATGCTGTGACAATTGCCTCTGCAAGGCACAAATCGGGCGAATCGGCAGACCAATAGAGACAGGCAAAAATGTGTGCGAAAATCACATGGCCATTTCCCCATTGGCCGACCGGCCGTCCCGATCTGACTCCCATCGATCTTGATTTAATCAATCCTGTGAAAAGGCGAATGTTATGTAAGAGCTAAAAGTAGGCCTGGGTAACACTGTGTTGTGCTGCGCTTTTGGGTTGTTGCCGCTCTCTGAGTTAATCAGTTTTAACTCATTGGTTAATGAATTTAACACATATAACAAAAAAAAGCTATCAACATATTGAGCATACGATTGCTTGAAACTATTTGGTCTAAAACGGGGGAAAATCCGGAAATTTTGAAGAGGCTAAACAATTTCAAAGCGATGAAGGTGACGAGTTTTACAAATATTGATTATTTGCTTGTGCTTTTTCTGCTCGTTTTCTGAGGAAACCTAAATTTTGTCGAAAAAAACAAGATAACTTTGTTTCGATTTTGTCCCAAATTCAAAGGTAAAACGGGTATTCGAAAAAGGCGATAAAGAAGACCGAACTGTAAAGACGATGCCCAGATAGCATTTGATATTCTATGAATATCTCAGAATGTTCAAAAAATATACAGAACATTGCGGGAATATCCTGGGAATATACATAGGTGAACATTCCTA